TTTATTATTGTACTTAATTCTGATAATAATCGTTATATAGTACTCCTTTTGTTTATCTGTACTAGAAACTATCTCTCGCGCGCCAAGAGTGTTATTCCCAATCTGCTTCTCCTCGCTTCTCCTACCTGGTCGTAAGCCGCTTTTTCACCTTTCGATATCACGAGGCTAGCAATAAATATACTTCTTTATCTAGGATCGTCTTTTCTTTGACTTCTAGATTACCAGCATTTACATTAGTAATCCAGCGAAAAATTATAGCTATTCAGATTTACTATACTTTCATCAGAGGAAAATACTCTTCAAAACTGAGTGATTATTGCTAACATATAAGGACATCAGCAAGTGAAATCAATTATTCTATGATCTCAGTTAGTTTGTGGAGTTACATAATATCGCAGACGTAATTTGTTTGTTATATATTGTATATGTTGGAAAATCCTTATGATGTACTTCTAATGTCACTAAAATTGTACTAAATCCTAGGTAAATCATCTTTCAAGATGAACGTTTCTCTCCATTGGAAGACTGGCCATTGAATGTTGAAGCCTTAGTGAAAATTTGAGGAGAACTTACCGAACGTGGTAGCTAGGACAAAAACTTCGTAAATTATTTTGGTAACCTATGCTGGAATGTCCAAACAATAGTATAAAGTTTTATCTGTTTTTAGTCGCACGAGTCTAGGTAGACTATAGACACCATTACAGACCATTTACGTCCCCGTCACTAAGTATAACATCTACGTCAATCAAGGACAGAGAAGAAGAGTTAATCCATACAAGGGAATATATTTGCTGGAGATTTCGGGGTATTGAAGGAATACCGAAATCATACTAGAAAAGAAGGGGGGAATTTACAGTGAGCAGTATAACCAAAATGCCAGCAACAAAAACGGAAAGTTTACTCATACCAAGTACGAATAAACAAATCGAGAATAGTGTGGTGATTTCATTTTTAGGGAGAAAAAAACACGATTTGTTAAATAGCAACATTCATTATTTTAATCAGGTGTGCCAATGACTGTATGATCGAATGTGTAGATTCGTACCTTTGTTTGTCCGCAATGACCTTTGTTCTTCTTGTATATATACCGACATTACTCTACGGTCATCGTCCTGCCCAGTTTTCCTGGTCGCCATCTTTTTTTGGCTGCTCCCTACTGTCATTCTTTCTCTGGCCCGTTTCGATATTTTCTTGACACCACAAAATCAGCAGTAAATGCATCAATTTCGTCCGGTCTGTCTCGTCTTCGTTCTTCTTATAAAAGATCTGGCATAATGTGAGAAACATGAATTTAATTTTTATTTAGATACTTTCATAGTTCAGCGACTTGAACATCTTTAACAAAGTCAAATTTTTTTTAGAGAAGTTTTCCGCTTGAATCTAATGATGTCCATTTATGTTCTACAAGTTGTGAAATCTCTTCCGTCAGTGGCCACGGACTAGTCTTTATGGGTATGGTTAACACTTCACTGCGGAAAGAGGTTGGTTTTTATATCAATATAACTTTCAACATACTATCTGAAAAAATTCTCTATCATTAGAACAAATCCAAGTAGTTCATGGCCAGTCAGGAAGTTATTCCGAAAGTGACTAGGCTCTTATATAAGCTACTAGAAATATACGGTAATAGTCCACGTAGTCACTGAAATGACGAATAAATCTTTGGGTCTTAAGCTGTCCCATGAAGAATATTTGAACCGACTGGGCCAAAAGACTCTGCAGACCAGTACACCTATATCTTCACCACTAATTAAGTCACTTTAGGTGATACTGTAAACTTCTAATATGGCGACGGATTCTCTTTTATGTACAAAAAATACAAATCCCTCAAGTAATTTCATATCTATTTTTGCGTTTACAAAGTTATTTTCCGCATTTGTGAGATTTTGTGTAAATTCGAATATGACATTAGGGACTTGATGTGGTAATTCAGTTTGTACAAAAATGAACTTGCTGGGGATCAACAGTCAGTTATCTAGTCTAAACTGTAACTTTAACCGTCCAGTAGAATTTACTGACTTTTTTAGTTGTAGTAAATCGAAATAAATATATTCCTTCGCGGGATTACGAATGTAAATCCCGATAATCCAGAAGGCAAAGAAAAGATTATTCTGGATGAAGAAGTATATTTATCGAAGTAATATCGAGGCTAGGGTACATAAGCGGCTAAAGATCAGGTAGGAGAAAAGAGGAGTGAGAATAACACTCTTGGCGTGCGAGAGAGTTTTTAGTACAGATCAACAAAAGGAGTACTATATAACAATTATTATCAGAATTAAGTACAATAAAAAATGTTTATATTTCAGCAATTGTGTTGTCTTTGTAGAAGTATGCCACTACATAATCTTGGGTCATTTTGAAAAAAGCGTTCATCTTGTAACTAACTAAGTTATGGTTGTTTCCAAACTGCCCTACGACGACCTTATTTTATAGAGATTTTGAAATCACCGTTAGACAACAACGTTCCTAATTGCAGTATTTTGTTCAGTTTCAGAATTCCAGTGACAAAAACGGTTCTTGTCGATGACAATCTGACGTTCATTTTGTCAGTTTTTATGTTAGATAAATGTTGTTGAAACTTCATGGCATTTCTTACCTACATACAGTACGGTTGATATAACTAAATAGAGTAGCCAAGAGTTGGGATGTATAACGGTATTCTAGGCTTTGGTAATAAGTGTTCGTAAACCTAATATTTACTTTGTTTTCAGATAGTTTTTGTAATTTCACCATAAGTCACATGTTTCTATTGTTGTCAGCGCTTTATAAAATATTATTATTAAATCTCTCTCCAGAAAATCTCTTTTTTGACCTAAATAGATTGTATAGATGAATTACATGGAATCAAGAAATAAAGATGAACTTCCTAAGTGTAACACTTCCCTTAGTTTTGTGAAAAGTGGACTATTGTAGATGTTAATATAAAGCAGACAAGTAGACAATTACAAGAGAATTTAGGGTAACAGTAGACATTTGGGATATGGTAAAAGTGCTATTGTGACACTTGCTAAAAGGCGAAATTTCGGGCGAAAAGTCTTACTACTTACCCTGAGCTAGTTAAAAGGGTAACAAATTGACGCATTGTCTTTCGTATGGACATCAAGTTTGCTGAACGACTTTCCCAAACGTTTCTCCTACGTTAGCTTTTATTTTTCTTTTGTGGCTTGTTAAGTGAGCGCCTAATATGTTTAAACCTTTTTCTCTTGACGTTGAAGGTGAGGTGACTTTATTTCGGCACCTCGAGGCCTTGACATGAATGTTCAAGAACCGCCATCCAATAAATTCAGAGTGGAATTCCTTTTTTCACACTGTGATCAATGACTGGAACGGCCTACGCGAACAAGTGATATCACCACGGTGAATACCCCCAAGGAAAACCCGGACCTTCGCTGAAAAGCAGTCTGCAAAACATAATGCATCATACCATATGATCGCTAAAGTTAAACATTCAGTAGCTGAAAAGATTTACATTGTCCGCTGAACACTTGGAGGCGAGAAATAATGGATGCTTGAACACTCAGTGAAAACAGCATGGTTCGGTCGTGTCACAACGATTCAGTGTGCTAAATGATGTGACTCCCGCGTTAGGTATTAAAGATTAAGTCGTCACATCAAGACAAATCTACAATTCTGAAATAGGCCTAACATTCTAGTAGCGTAGATCAGTACATTAATATCGGATAGGACCGAAATCCTACAAGTTTACCAACCTACAATCATTATTACAGAGAACTGTATTACTAACTTGTGTTCAGTTTTGTTGTCAGTTTGAATGTACAATATGTGGGTCTCCATTCTATATATTTTTTGGTTTTCCGTATATCTATCGATCTATCTGCTTCTACTTTAGCCTGTTTGTATCCACTCAGCTGTATCGCATTTCCATTATGTTTATGCTAGTTAATTCGATTACTTTAAATAAACATTAAGAGGTACTCCTTTTGATGTTTCGGCTCAATTCAATCGTCTTTGGTCATCTTAAGGATGACGAACATAGCAATCTAGAACAGGCGAACCTATAAGCACTTTGTCTAAAATAGCTGAAAGATACCCAACGACGGAGATGATTAGAATACGACAGAGTTTAACGTAGTTAATTCATCATTCTCATTTAGCGAAGTCTAGGGAAACTAATCATAAGTTTCTGTATATATTTAATGAAAAAAATATGCGTGTAAATTAAATATTCTGTTTTGAGATTCATTAGCAGCTGTCACAGTGGTCGTGATAAGCTGCCGGCTAAAGGATTACAACCGAGATACCTTCAGTTTGTTACACCTCTATACGAAAATTCTGGCTTTCAATATCTTTTTCACGAGATAGTATAAAACAATCGATTTCTTTGCACAAGATTCTTTCGGCACCGTTTATTCCTCTTTATATCAGTCCAAGGGTCGGGAGTTGTGGACCCTCAAAACCAAGGGAACTGTGAGGCTCTTGAACATACAGATACGCAGCATTAAATGGAATCTAACCCGAAGACCCAAAAGACTGTACGGAACTACTTTATTTCAGGCTTAAAATTCTCTTCAAGTGTTCGTTAGTAGTGGGTAGAAGGGAGTTGTCATATCAGTCGAGTCAGGACCCAGATTTCTAACGAACTTCCCTGTACTCCGCAGAATTAATTATCAAAGAAGTAGTCCCGAAGAAATCTTTCCTTAACTATCTTTCCGATTATTCATTTTTTCGACTCTCTGGGAAGCCATGTGGTTCAAACCTAATGACTACCTGTAATGTTACAAGGCCTATCAAGCTTTGTAAAGGCACTGAATAGCGTCAAAAATGAAAGCCCCAGTCTAAATAATTAGCCGACAAAAATGAAATGGCTCCCAGATTACCCCCAGTATTATAACGAACTTGTTTTACTCCGCACATTTAGTAACAATGGATCAAGAATCATAAATTCTTCCTAATAAGAATAATTCTTCAGGAGAAAAATAGTTTATTATCTATGAAAAGCAAAGCTTGAGGTTTGGACTTCGGTTTTTAAAATGCTAGTTGCGGGTCAGACAAATATGGCGGTACTCGGTTGGTTTCATCTCTTCTCTAGAGTTTAATTCAAAAGTGAGTATAAAGATCAATCTCTTGCTGTTTTTTCGTCTGAAATTCAACACTTATAAATTTTAATTTCCTTACGTATATGATTTAGGCAACTGAATAAAGTATCAATCGTCAAAATTTAGACAAGTAGCTCGACAGGAATTGGGCTCTGAGTCTATAGAAGACATTAAGTGAATCACTTTAGACCATTTAGATGGGCAAGTCGTTAAAAATATTTGGATCACAATATGTAGGTTCACTTAAACAATTTTAACACTGACCAATAGCGGTTTCGGAATACTGTCTACCATATAAATCCGTAAATATGCATGCTAATATTCCAAATATCTATACCACGAGCTTGCATAAACCCTGTGAGTTTACTTGTGCTTGCTCTTCGTCTCGGTATGGCTCCAGATCTTTGGAGACCTTTAATGGAGGGGGTGGGTCTAGTCCAGTCGCTCGACTAGACTACTTATGACTAGGTTGGTACTTGTGGTTCTCCATATTTCGTAATCTAAGTGAGTGCGTTTGCACCAGGCCATTAAAGTTCCAGGAATCAATGGCTATAACATTGCAAACAAGGAGGTTGTTTAGTTTCAGTCAGCTTCAACGTAGAACTTCATTCGGACTTGCATCAGTTCAAGTTGTCATACCACATCAGCAAGGAGATGCAAACTTAGTAATACAAACACTGTAAAACGAAGCTCAAAGAAGAGAACGGATTGATATTAATCAGTCATAGTCGTATATCGCAAACTTGAAACCAACAAATAGCGTATCAGTTGTTTCACCTTGCAGTCATTCCTACAAGTCAAATTCATCTAGAGCTTGAGTAAGCAGGATTAATAGTTCTTTGTGTCGACGTGCAATTTATAATAAGAACTCCATGCGAAGTGTGATTTGCGAAGAATTAGATCCTCTTCCTTTTGTTCGAATTAAATAAGTTCATGCCATTTTATTTTTAATGCAGCATAAAGTATCCACACTTTATACGAGATTTCCCCGATCGTTAGGTATTTGGTTTAAATTATTTTGAGATCATTGTCGATTTATTAAATAGCCTGCATATATGTTTTTAAAACAGTTTATAAAGGTATTTATAACGGTAATGGGCCTGAAAATCCAAGCATTTTAAATAGTTGTGAACAGAACTTACGTTCTGAAGAACTTCAGAGAAGTTACTTAGATCCTTTCAGTTCGTGGGGAACTTTTAGATTTTACTGCTCATAAAGAGTAAAAGGTGCGCCTGGAATCCGTCTAACGTATGTAGCACACTTGAATTCTGATTGTTCCCTCAACTAGTTATGTTAGTTTTTCAGAGGATGTCTAATGGCGTTTATGTTATTGTAGTCAGTCAGTCAGTTACAACGTAGAACTTCATACGTACGTACATCAGTTCAAGTTGCCGTACCACGTAAGCACAGAGACGCAGCTGTCAATTCAAATCACATAGTGGTAGAGATAGTAGAAGAGTTACTGGTTATGAAGATTAGGACTTGAAGATAATATTCAAGAAGTATAATTCAGTGAGATAAGTTTAGAGAGACAAAGGTAGAGGGGTTGACGAATCCAGAAGATTAGGATTTGGGAGAACACAAAGAGTCAATGCACCTGCGCCATTGCAAACAATTTTCAGCCATGTCATTCAAGGTCTCTAACCATCGATGACTTTCGTCTCGCGGACCCCAACCAGGTATCCTACATCTGCCAACATGACTTAGTCCACATGTCCCAACCACCTCATCTGATAAAGTTTCATTACTTCATCAATTGATCTGCCATTCTTACCTAGTATTCGCTTCCTAATGGCAACGTTGATTACTCGGTTGTCCCATGATACTCGAGCAGTGCTTCGCAGACAACTATGATCGAAAACAAGCAAACTACGAATAACTTCTCGAGTGAACAATGCTGTTATTAGGAATCGGGTACTAGGTAAGAATGGCAGATCAATAGACGCAGTAGTGACACTTCATCAGTTGAGGTGATTGGGACATGTGTTGCGTATGCCCAATCACCGACTGCCTCGTCGTGCTTTGTTTTGTGGTGTAGGAATAGGTTGGAAGAATGTTAGGGGCGGCCAAACCAAAACATGGCATAAATCCATGAAGTCATTGACGAGTGGACTTAGCCATGTCGGTAATTGTCGACTACCTGGTTGGGGTCCGCGAGATGATAATAATCGATGGTTAGAGACCTTGAATGACATGGCTCAAAGTCGTTCGCAATGGCGCCAGTGCATTTATTCTTTGTGTTCTTTCAAATCCTAATCTTCTGGATTCTCCAACCCCTCTAGTTTCGACTTTCTAAAGTTTTCTCACTGAATCATACTTCTTGAATAATATCTTCTAATCCTAACTTCTTCAATTACTTCTAATACCTTTACTATCTCTTCTACTATTGGATTTGTATTGACAATTACATCTCTGTGCTGATGTGGTATGGCGACATGAACTGATGTACTTACGTACGAAGTTCTACGTTGCAACTGACTGACTGACTGTTTTCAACCAGCACACCACCGGTTCAGGACTTCTACTTTAGGTTGACTGTTGGGTAGTATCACACATGAACAGTGTGATGGCTGAAAATGCACTACGTAAATATATGCCTGTTGAATGAGTTACATTAGTTACAACTTTATCTAGACCCTCAAACACAATAATTATCGTTCATGGATTGTGCATGGTGTAGTTCAGCACAAGGAATCTGTGCGGAGTTGGTGAACTATGTGTACAATAGTGTTAATGTATTGCACTAGGAGAATATACATTTTTTCATTCAATCACTTCGCAAGACGTTTTGCTAATTTTCTTTGGTTTAAGTACCCTGGTGATCCCATTGTATTTCACTAGTTCAGGTGCCGACGCAAACCAATAGTGAAGCAACACTTTGCATTTCGAGGGTGAGGACCACATCCCGAAAATGCTTGCGTTGTTGCTTAGGCTGGTCAGAAGACTACATTTTGTCAGCATCTTCAAGTAGGACAAGGTCATCGGCATGTTCTAAGTCAATTAGTGAGCCACCTGGTAGAAGGTCTACTCCTGAAAATTCAGACGAGGATAAGGTTATATGTAGGAGCATGTCTTTGATAAAATTAAACAAGAATGGAGAAAGTGGACATCCCTGACGGACACCACTTGAAGTAAAGAATTCCGTTGACAGTTCGCCATAAGCTCTCACTCGACCAGTGGTGTTTGAGTAGAGCTTGTATAAGGTTAATGTACTTCTTTGGTACACCTTTCAATGACAAACACTGCCACAGAACCTCACGATCTACCGAGTCAAATGCCGCTTTTAGGTCCAGGAAAACAACTATTGTCGGACGCCTAAATGTGTGTCTATGTTCCAGGACTTGTCATAGTGTGAAGATGTGGCCATACAGCCACGTCCAGGTCTGAAACCAACCTGGTTTTCTCTAGTCTGCTTTTCAAGAGCTATACTTAGGCGTCTAAGGATAATTGAAGCTAACAATTTAGAAACTATATTAGTTAGACTTATTCTCCTATGATTGTCACAAGAAGACTTTTGTCCTTTCTTATAAATTGGGACAATCGAGGATTGGGACCAGTCAGATGGTATTACGTCCAGTTACCAGATTCTACCTAAGATCTCAGTCAATCATCACGATAGGCATGCCCAACCACCATGTCAAGGTAGCAGCTACGGTCGGGTTATGTTTTTGTGTAATTGGATACTTATCTGCTTGAGCTTGTTGCTAAGACAGATATTATTGATCTGATCGAAGGCTTTTGGGAAGTTTAGATCTATGACGTCAACGTCTTGTTTTTGTGAACTTCGAAAACGTATAAGCTATGAAAAGATATCAAATATATTAAAATTTCCTAATTTTTCCGGCTATAAATTCTTGATTCTGGCAGTTTCTATTCTCAATAAGTGTTAGGAACCATTAGAATGTTGAGGTCATTTTCAGCACCTCCCATGTCTAGTGCTAGTGCTTTTCCTTTTAAACTATGTTCTCAGTTGACTTTTTTCACGTACATCCTTCTAACTCTCATCAGCGGACAAAACATTGGGTTTAGCTTCTGTTTGTATTTAAATCATGTCTGATAACAATACTGGCGGTAGTATTTTGTTTCTTTCGAAGTATCAGTTTTACTGTTACGGGACTTTGTAAAACCTGAATACTCTTTTCTAGAAAAGCCATAGAGTCACCACTCAGTTCTGGCATTACTTTCAAGTTAAATCAGTTATACTACCATAATGGTATGTTTCCTGAAAATTTTTAGCTTCTGTTAGTAACAATTTCAAGTGTTAATAGTTGGTAAATAATCCAAGGCGTTAAATCGTAAATATATGTAAAGTAACCCATCATAGAAGACTGTTACCTGAAATTATGATATGGTGGGATAGTTGTGCTTTGAGTAGTTAAGGAATTGATTTAAACATACCCTCTAAGTCATGAAACAATTTATTCGGAAAAGCCCTTTTCAACGAAGTTCATTTTAAAGACCATACAATCCTATGTATGTTCGATAAATTATAGGTTAAGAAATAATTATTCGTTAGAATTTGGTTAGTTTTGTGAAATATAAGGCTTATATAATTAATAGCATGTAAAGTGTAACTGCGAGTATCATTAAGCTAAAATGATGTGGGAATAATAATTAGTAAATCTAGATCGAAACAATCTTTGTAATAACAATAATCACGATAGTAGGGAAACAATAAAATGAACTAAATGAGACTACTAACTAAATTCGTGATAAAAAAGATCTAACAGATTATTTTTCTACAAATAACTCAGGTTTTGAATTATGGATAACCAAGGCTTTATGAATATAATTAGGTTAAGGCGTTTTCCTCTTGGCATCGGTTGTTGGATTTTTTAAATGGAAAATCATGAGTTGGAGACTAAACGGCCTGTCTTTACTACGTGTTGCACACTAGATAACATTTTGCTAAGCCTCGCTGGTTGACTCTTCGGAACACGATAATAAAGTGACCTCCATGAACGACCTACATACGTAGATCTACACGAGTAGGTAAAGTTGTATACGCACATCGAATTGATTAGTCTAGGCGGCTTATCCTTCATGTGGAGACATAGAAGAGGAGAACTAAACTAAGTTATGCAGAGATTTGCTGCATTGCATTCCCTTCTAAACGATCTTTCCACATAGATTTTTGTTTTATCATCAGCAATATCTCCCTTCAACTGAAAACTTACTGGTTCATTTCGAACGGTAGGTTTGATTTGTGAAAGTTGTTCCTACTTCATTAAGCAATCCATTAATTCTTAATATTATAATAGGTTTTAGTATTCTAATGCTATCCTCAAAAGCACGAAAAAATTCTTGAACCATGTTACTAACCTATTTTGTTGCATCATATTGTTTGTAAGTCCTATTTTGGATTTGTGTTTTTACAATGGTTCAATTTATTCTTTAGTAGTTATTAATTACTTATCTCAGCAGAGGCTACTTACCGACCATTTCATCATGACTATATTCACTCAATTGGTCGCGTTGGGTAAATAGTATAAACTACTTCATACTCTTTGGTCTTTGTGATCGGCGAGAATATTGAACTAAAATTTATTTCTAGATAGTATTTTAGGTTGTTCTTTTCACAGTCGTTGGTATATAATCAAACTAAATCTTATTAAGTTGCATGATTGTAATGTCACGGTTTGTTGTAATGTACAAGGTGCGTAAAGCCATTTACTCTATATCTTTTGTCTTTATTTTCACTAGTCACCATTTTGAATGTGTTCGACTCGGATCAGTTAGTTTTACTCCTCACAGAACATGGAATTTACTTTGGGAAAACTTTAAAGCCGCTAAAAAATTTATAAATACTGATAGTTATATATTTTTTGTGAACGATAATTACTGCATGTGATATTTATGCACCTTTTTTGTCTCCAAAGTCCATTAAATGTTTATGGTGGTGAATCTTACCGACTGTAAAGAAAAAACAATTTCATGGATTACCATAAAGTCACTCGTTATTTATTCATAAAACCTGATCTCACAGATCTCAGCCTATTTTTAATACGAATTATCTTAGTTGTCAGTAAGTGTTATTTGGAACTAGTGGTACGGTTAGATAGTGCTTGTCGTTCACTAAAACTATGGTTTGGTTAGTCTTAACTCATTTTTTATGTTTTCAGTTATGCCTACAGACCAAGGTTATCGAAAATCAGGCAGTCCACAAGCTTCTACTGAGGTTTCTTCTTTGCAACTGAACCGGACCAAAAACAAAGAAGGTAGATTAATCACTGTTATTAATATCTCTCAACATTTTCAAGCACTTGAGAAAAGCCTCAAGTCCAGACGTTCTTTAAAAGAGTTGGTAAATCAAGGGATATTACTGAATCGTATGTTGTATTTTAATCTAACATTTTTTCGTTGTAGCTTCGATTTCACACCCTGACAAGGTCCGCCAGTTACAAAAGGCTAAGGTTTTGTCTATAATATTTTTAATAGTTTCTTGTTCCTTTAGACTAGCGACTTATTAAAACGTAAAATTGGACAACGGCCGGATAGACAGTATCTTATCAGTCATCATATTTTAAGAGGTAACTTTTCTTTTTGGTAATAATTTATGTCTGTAGATGATAAGCTGGGTACTTCACCCTTCATCCTTGAGCAATGCCACAATTTAGAAAAGTCTCAGCTAAAGGAAACTCTGGCCACGAAGCTTATTTCTAGACCTGGTTCATTGGAGTTAGTTGAGAAAGGAGTTCTGCAGGTAAATGTATCTATGAGCAATTATTTTCTCATTAGGTTGCATGAATTTAGTTATTCAATCCCGGTTCCCTGTCGTTTCAACACCTTGTGACACGTTTATTTATTTTTAAGCGATATTACACTACGTTGAAGCGACACCGAGATTGTCTTTAATGAGCCAGTGATAGTTTGTAGCGTTTAGTAACACGATGTACTTCTGTGATTCAACGTAGCTTTTAAATAAATTTTAATAACACAGCATCGTTTTGACCATCTTATTAACTCTTCCTAGAAAATCAGGAAATTCAGGACACACGTCTTATATTCATATCCTTGTAATCTTACGTGTATACGCCTTGTGTGTATGTCTGCCAATTATTATTTTATCCGGTATCTCTCTCTTTGTCACACTACGTATTATCTACTTCCAGCTATATTAGTAATAATGAGGAGTCGGAATGCCTACTTTCTTCGTTTCGCTTTTCACTGCTTATTATTTGTAATGTCTATCTGCGTAGACGATTGCTGAAATCAGCTCATCCAATTGAATCCTTATTTGGCTTCTCATTACCATCCTCGCACAAACGAGGTTAGCCCATGTGTAAGGTACGGAATTGAATAAAAGTTTTATTTTCATGGCATATTTGATTGTTCGTCCATATAAGAGTCATATTTCGAGCCACCAGAAGTTGATTTCACAGTCTGTCTACTGTTTGCTATACATTTTGTCATACGTTGAATCTAATTTAATCTTTTTTTTGTATCTCGGAAACTGTCCCAGTTTTTCAAAATGAAGGTTTGCTTAATTATTTATGTGATTTAAAAACTCACAAGTTGATGTGTAAATTCAACTGTGTTAAAAAGACATACTCAATGACCAGTAAATAAATTCATCTAAATGCAAACAGCTTAGTCGGCCTAAATTAAAGGATAATATTTCCAGTTTTGACTATCAATATTGAGTACCTAAATAACACTAAACCTGGCTTTTTAATGATTGAAAATGAACCTTGCCAGTTAGCCTTACAAATCTACTTCAGATTCATTCAAGTAGTTACTAGTTGTACAAATTGTTTGTGGATTAATGATTATCCTGATTCTCAAACTAGTATGTAGCGAAGTTTGGTACCCACGACTATTGATCAAAACGAGGTTAATTATTTTGGATGTTTGATGAAAAACCAACATTTGTTGTTTGGTGAAATGACATAATTGTCAGGTATCATTGTATCTTATATATTTTCCTTACTGTCATGTTATTTATTGTTTTATATATATTCTCTCAACCTTAGGTTGATCCGGGTGTTGATTCACTCATCAAACAAGGTTCTATCCAATATCCTAGGGTTGAGTCTGTTTCGTCGGAGAGGATTTCAAGTGAACGACTGCAACCTATCCAAGAACTGATCGCTATACCACCACCTCCACCACTTTCATCGACTACAAAAGCACACAGTACAAATCCTGGTCGTGTTGTTTCTGGAAGAAGTCGTTTAGTTACTTCAAATAAAACGTCCAGTAGTCGGGCAATTCGAGATGACACCATTATTTCAAAATTAGGCTCATTGGTTTTTCATCAGTATTGTCCAGACTCATCGAGTTCATCATCGCCAAGCCTAGCTAATGTCTCATCTTTTCAACAGAAACAACGAGTCCGAGAATTACAGCAAGTTGAAATGTTACGCCTTCAGGATACTGCACGTGCTCATCGGCTAGTCGAACAGGAATTGTGTGAGCGTGTAAGCATATGTAAAAAACCATTGCATGAAGATACATCCTTCATGGATCTGACTCCTAATTCATCATTTAATAATCAAATAAGCAATCAACCAGCATTATCCTGCACTTCCAACTTAACGTCACTGCAAGTCTCTCCAACCCCTTCTAACTCAATAGTTTGTTCTAAGAACCAGGTTGCTTTAAGTAACCAACGAACTGGTGCTTCAAAAACGTTACCATTGGAATCTAGTTTTATCTTACCTAGTCTTGCTCATCTTACTCTCACTCAACTTAAGGGGGAATGTAAGGACAGAAATTTACCTCGTGCTGGTTCTAAAATGCAATTAATGCGTTTGCTCAATCCATATCGCCGTGAAATATTGGGAAAATATTTCCCAAATTCTGTCATGAAACAAAGTGAAGAAGTCAAATTGGCTATAGATGGAACTTTTCAATTTTATAATAATAATATAAATCAAACACAGCCTTTCATACAGTGCCAAGACCAGAATCAAACACTTTTAGTGAATTCTGAACAACCTATGATGGAAATGGATGTCAATTTGAAAGACTTTGACTCATCACTACTACCCCAAACTAAACCTGTGAATTTATGCACTACAGTATTTTCTTCAGGATCCAGAATACCAAAAGATCTACAAGTATACTCTGATGTTGTTATGAAATCAAATGATTCCAATATGTTATTTGCCCAACCTTGTGTCTCGTTAAGGCATTCTGTTTCTGCACCATTCTTTCCGGAAATTTCATCTAACTCGTCCTCAGGTAGGTTTATATTTTCCACTAGAGAGTAAAACATTTTAGGGTGATTGAAAATGTACCAAAATTACTCCCCAGAATATTTTAGCGATTGAAGGCAGTTACTTCAGCAGTGGTATTTGACTTTTTTTTTTATCTATCTCCAGTTTCTTAAACATGAAGCCATTTCACTGATGCGATGCAATTCGTTATTAATTTATGTATTTATGCGTCATTTTTAATTCACGCCTATTTTATTTGGAGGGCTAATACTCGGTTGCTTAAAATTTGCTAGAAAAGGTGAAGAGTTACACGTTCAAACCAGTTTATTTCGTCATTTGCATGTCTTTCAGTGCATTAACGCAAATGCTAAACTGTATGACCTTTCCAAAAAAGAATATAGTACAAAAATTTATGGGTTCAAGTTATCCACATTTCGTAATAGAAAAAACTAGGGTGAGTTGACAATAAAAAGTAGCAATTAGTATTGATAATATCAGCGGTAGGAAACCAAGAAAAAAGACAACGGAACAGAAATTAAAGAGGGAGAGTAAAAGACTATCAATTATGCTAAGATTTCCATTGGTTTTGATTAAGAGTCAGCCGACCAATGACGTTTGATTGTATATGAAGTTTCCGAAATTTCGACTCACTTTTTTCAAGCAGATTTACACAGAATGAGTTTTCAGAAAGGTGCACCATTAGATTTATTGTATACTAATATCTAGAAACGATAGAATAGATCTTTATAAACAAAATGAAATCTATATGTATATTGTTTAAAATGAAGTATATAGTTTTTTAGTGTCTTGAACACTAAGCAAATCTTAGCTAACAATTACTGAAAATCACATACGCCTGTTACCCTTATTGGAATATAGGCCGCTAACCGGAATTCTCCAACCAACTCGGTCTTGGACGTTTTTCAGTTATACCCAATCTCTGTTTATTCTTTTAATGTCTGCTTCCGATTTTCAGCGATGTGTTTCATCGTCTACCTCTTTCCGTTTGACCCTAAGGTTCCGAGTTAGGGCTTGCCTTGTGACGCAGTTGGGTGCTTTCCGCAATGTGTCCTCGACTGTAGCTGCTACCTTGACGTGGTAGTCAGGCTTGCCTATCGTGATGACCCAACCGAGCTATATTGGCTGTAACATATGTTCCTGAAGGTTCTACCATGCCAGGCAGTTCGATTGGAGAACAATGAGACTAAAAGCAGCTACCCAAGGTCTCAGGGCGAAGTCGCACTGCTGACTGCAGAGGGGTGTGACAGCAGTAAGGTGTTTCCCTCGGACAACGAGCATCTGCAGCGATGCTGCCTCCTCAGAAAATGTCGACCCTAAAATGTCACACCTCACCTACCGCACGGTATTCCGTCTCCTTGGGTAAGGGTGCCCACTAAGGGTCTTTAAGAGCGGAGCTAATACTCAAAAATCCTTTAATAAAAAGGCCGTGCGTAACCGGCCTCAAGCAGTTGTCCCTTGGGCTTTGCGGTCACGCTGCCAGGTCTCTAAGACCAACACTGATCTACCTTCCTTTCCAGGTCCCTCAACAAACAACCTTCCACGGTGTGGGCAGCCGGGAAGTGATATCCGCCCTCATACCCATAATAGCACTCGAGACCGAGTAGGTCACAATCAAATCCTTTCTACACCTCTTAATAACTCTTATCTCCTCGACCAACCCTTCTTTTGATCTATGATCACCTCACGCCACTGAAGCTCACGAAACATTATTCATGGTCTCCTGAAACCCCGTACTAAATTACATATAGGAGCTTTTAATGTTCGACCCTATGCCAAATAGGGCAACAGGCTTTATTAGCTAGAACTCGAATCCCGGGCGATCGATGTATGTTGTGTCTCCGAAACACGCATACAAGACCCGAGTAAAATCATTAATTTGATCTCACCTAGTGCAGATAGAGACACAGCAAAATTTACTCTTCGTGTTTCTGAAAGCCGTGATGCCGCTTCTCATGGCCTTGCTGGCGTAGGTATAGTATTAAGTCCTAGAGCAGAACAAGCTCTCTTAGACTGGATCGCGATAGACTGTCGCTTATGCGCTGTTCGACTAAACGGGACGGTACGGACTCGGAAGGTCAGGGACATTCGCCGTTGCCTCTTCGTCGTATCTGTCTACGCCCCCACTGATTGGAGTTCAGACTACATGAAAAATAAGTTTTATAGAAACCTCTCTCAACTTCTCCAAAATGTTAAGCGCTCTGATATAGTATTAATTGCTAGTGACTTTAACGCTCAAGTAGACTAGGTGATAAGGAAAGACACCTAGGTAGATCTTACGGTGTCGCGGCTAATAGGACAGATAATGGCTACCATCTGCTGCAGCTATGCTCAGATAACCGCCTATTCCTAGCAAACACTAACTTTAGACATAAGGCAAAACACCTTTTGACCTGGGCAAGCCATCGGTGGAGAGGCTCTGTTGAAGACTGCCGCTGATTCTGGAGCACCTGTTTAGACATACCATACTGTAGTGCGAGCGCGTATTTGTTTGTGCCTTACTGGACGCATGAAAAATATCGCAAGGAAACCTCTTAGGGCTCTACTTAATGCAAAGCTAAGAATATATTTCAGGAACAGTTACAAAAACATTTAGGCAATCATGTGGGCAGAACACTTTAGGGATCAGTTCAACTGGCCTTCAGCCACACTTCGGTTGCCCATGATCTCCACTCATCCTGAATGGGAAACCGACATAAGTCCTCTGGATCTTTATGAAGTTGAGAAAGCGATAGGAAATCTGAAGCGAGGGCGAGCAGCTGGTCCTGATAGATTGATCCCTGAGACATTTAAGGATGGTGGTCCAGTTTTAGCAGCTAGTTTGACTGAAATATTAGGTAGAATCTTGAAACTGGACGTTATCTCATCTGAATGGTCTCAATCCTCGATTGTCCCAATTTATAAGAAAGGACAAAGGTCTTCTTGTGACAATCACAGGGAAGGTTCTGTGACAGTGTCTGCAAAATGTTGCTTCAAGATTGGGTTTCATCGGTACCTGGAACATTGATAGGGAGTGAAGTAGTTGAGCATGTTGACCGCTTAACTTATCTCAGAAGTCTCTTCAGTGCTGATGACCTGGTGTGTAACGAAATATCAGCACGGATACAGAAGGCTCGATCGACTTTTGACAACCTGAGTCATTTATAGGTAGGTTGCTTGTTGTCGATTATAGGTGTCTTCGAAGCGTTGCTCGAGTATTGTGGGACAACCGAGTAAGCAGTGCTGTTATTAAGAAACGGGTACTAGTTAAGAATGGCAGATCAGTTGATGAAGTAATGAAACTTCATCAGTTGAGGTGGTTGGAACATGTGTTACGTATGCCTCGTCGAGCTGTTTTGTGGTTTAGAATCAGCTTGGACAAAAGCTAGGGGTGGCTAGACCAAAACATGGCAGAAATCCATGAAGTCATTGACTAGTGGGCTGAACCATGTTGGTATATGTGGAATAATTGTTTGGGTTCCGGGAGATGATAGTAACTGACGGTTAGGGACTTTGAACGACATGGCTCGAAATAGTTTGCAATGTCTCAGATGCATCCATTCATCGTCTTCTCTCAAATTCCAATCTTCTGAATTGCTTATCACTTCTATCTTGTTCTTCTTAAGTTTATTTTACTAGATTCTACTTCTTGAATAATTACTTCGAACCATAATCTTATCGATTACCACTAATACTTCCCAATTACCACCACTATGGGATTTGAATTGACAATTCGATCTCTCTGTGATAGTGTGTTATGGTAACTTGAACTGATGTACGTATGTACGAGGTTCTACATTGCTGTTGATTGATTGATTGATTGCTATCAAATTTTTTTTCGTAGTTAGGTAAGTTGGTTTGTAGTGGTGAATTCCATTCAGTCCTTCTGGCTCACTATATTTTCCAGGATCTTCTTTGTATCGTTTAGTTATCTCTTGCAGCTTTTTCCGTTATCATTACTAGGTCTTTCACTTATTTTCGCTTAACAACTCTAATGCGCCTTTTTTACTTGTTTGCTTTTGTGTATTCAGCTTGTGCCGTAGTCTTCTCTGCTGTTGTTCGACTCTTATTGATTGTTGTCTTCCTGTCCTTCCTTTTTCGAGTCTTATCCAAAGTATCCCTAGTGATCCGTTCTTCGTGATGGTGATTTATGTTGCCCAAAACCTCAAGACATGCTGAAGCTAATGCTTCTTTGATTTATCTCCAGTTGTTTTCCATGGTAGTTTCTTCTTCATTGAGTCGATCGTAAAGGTCCTGGAACTTGTTGCTGGCGGCTATCTTGAATCAGTCGAGTTTGTTAGTATCCTGAATAAAGGCTGTATTGAGCTTTGGTGATGCTATTCACCTAGTTGTCCAGTGTTGCTTGAGTTTTAGTTTCATTTTGACCACTACTAAGTGGTGATCTGAAGCTGTCTCGGCTCTTCTCTTTGTTCTCACGTTCTCTATGGTTCTTTTGAACCTTTAATTGATGCAGATGTTATCGGTTCGGTTATGTGTAGTGTGATCCAGTTAAACTCATGGCTTTGTGTATGCGTTTGTGTGGTAATATTGTGCTGCCTATGAGCACTTTGTTGAAGGTTTGCGGATCTCTCACCACTTTCGTTTGTTTCTCTCAGTCCATGTCGTCCCATGATGTTTTCACATCGATTGTTGTCCATTCCAACCTTAGCATGTACCTCTCCCATGAGAATGGTCAAACCCTTTACTGGGCATTTCTCGACGACTGACTGCAGCCTCTAGCAGAATTGATCTTCATTGTCTTCATTGTTTTCGTTGGTGGGTGCATAGCACTGAATGATATTCATTGTAATCCCTTCTTTCTTTATTTTGAAGGATGCTTTGATGATACTGTCCATGAGATTCACATCCTACAGGTACTATAAGTCCTCATCTCATTTTCTGTACACAATCTGTGAGACGTTTCAAACATTCAAGTGAAATGTGATAGTAAAGTCAGTTTTTCTCACGTTTTGCATAGTTTATGTAATCTGACAGCAAACACTATCTTGGACAATCAATGTCTCAATAATTTTCGCACATAGTTCGATTACCCTATACCAACAAATTCATAATAAACTGATATCAAACTCGTAGACCACTATAACTTCGTGCAAAATTCAGAACTCAGTAATTTTGGTGGATGAAGTTCACTTCAAACAAAAAAGCTGTCTCTCAATATCTATGGAATGATTGTAACTCTCTTTTTCATTCCAGCCAATTTTTTGTTGATGTACGTATCAGTTTTCAAAGTATTTCTGTTAGTGGAATAAACTTCATCAAACATATTTAAGGGTTTGGTTATTTAATAAAATATAATTGTTTATAATTAATGTTTGGAGAAACCTAAACCAAAATTTATATGTTGATGACTTTTGTCATTTGTATTGGTTAATGCATGGTTTCTAGTTGACAATATTTTCGTTATTTTGTTATCCAGAATGGATTTTTTTGCTCACAATGTAACTGTTCCTTTCTTTATATTTTGAAAATGTTTTTGTTGTTTATGACAGGACACACAACTCATTTTCAAATTCCTTCGACACAAGGTAACCTATCTTCGACAACTCTAATACCGGTCACTTTCATTAATGATATTTCAATGAGTGAATCAGATCACATTTCACAAATTCCTGTCTCATCTTTTGAATTACAGTTTGTTCAAACTACATCAACACAATCATTTGTATGTATGACTCCGAATATTCTTCCAGATAATCAAACATCATCATCTAATGGAGATTTTTATTGTCCAAATGAAAATCTTGTACATCATCCATTAAAAAGTATCCCGTCATCAGATTCTAGTTATATTATCACTTCAAATCAACATCTTCCATTATCCACATCTATAGATAATGGCATGTTATCACCGTGCAATGAATCACAGACTATGCATCATACTTCCGTAAATAATTCACTTAACAATCAATCATTGCCCGTATTTTCACCGGTAACAAGATCAAATCCTACTGGTGATGATGGTAGCTACAGTATTGGTTGTACTGGTTCTTCAACACCATCGACAACACTTCATCAAATTGAAGAGATGTGGTTAAGAATTCGTCAATTAAGGCGTAACATTGAACAGGTAATGTTCAAAATTCAAGTGTTTAATTCTATGCTCTCTTTGTCTTTTCTACCAAGTTGTGCATCGATGTATGCATATATATTTATGAATTTATTGATCTATTGAAAAGTGTAAAATGTTCTCCCAAACATATCTTCATGATGCTAAACTCAATGCCTCATTATTGGATCAGTGTTTTATACTACATGCTATGCGATGAAAATAATAGTTTTGACCCATATCGTAAAATAATTATCATTGACTAATCGAATAATATTTTAATTGTATCAATGAATGAATTGTACTAAATAGCTTTAAAGTAATCAAATTTATGATATGGAGGTTAAATTATGTAGATTTAGACTATAATTTTTCTCTGTTGTAAACCAATCATTAGTAATCAGCGTGATAAATGATAGTATAAATCATTATTCGAAGTACAAATCCACGTACTAGGCTGTTTTAATACCATACATTTATTCACTTTAAAGCAGGTGCTTAACCAACGTCTACATCGACAAGCGATGTTGTCTGGTGTCAGAGTAGTCTGAAAGTAAACTAGGGGTGGCCAAACTAAAACATGGGACAAATCCATGGAGTCATTGACAACTGAACTAAGCCATGTTATTAGGTGTAGACTGCTTGATTGGGGCCCGCAAGACAATCGTAACCGGTGTTTAGACTTTGAACGAAATGGTTCAAAATCGTTTGCCATGGAAAAGATGTATTCATCCTTTATCTTCTCTCAAATTTTAATCTTCTGAATCCCTCATGACCATTTTTCTTTTTTTAAATTTATTTCACAAGATTATACTTCTTGAATAAGATCTCCGAACTCTGATCTCCATCACTGCTAATACTTCTACTACCTCTGCTACTATGGTATTGACAGTTACATCTGAGGTGAATCAGTCAGTCAGCTGCAACTTAGAACTTGGTCCGTACGTGTATCAGTTGTTATACCGTATTAGCACAAAGAGATGGATTTGTCAGTTTAAATACCATATTGGCAGTAGTTGTGGCAGTATTAACGGTTATGAAAAGTACTAAAGATCAAATATATGATTTGAGAAGTATGACCCAGTGAAATAAATTTAAAAAAAGAAAAATGGTCATGAATAATTCAGAAGATTAGAATTTTAAAGAAGAGAAAGGACGAATGCATCTTTTCCATGGCAAACGATTTTGAGCCATTTCATTTAAAGTCTAAACACCGGTTACGATTGTCTTGCGGGCCCCAACCAGGCAGTCTACACCTGTTAACTTCTCTCTTCAAAGGGCTTCATCTCCAGAGACAGAAATCGTTGTGTGGCATGTTTAGGTTTGACCTTTTCTAATCCTTTCCTTCCGTTGTGAGAAGACAGCATCGTTACAGATGCTGGTTTTCCGAGAGAAATATCTTACTGCTGTTCATACCCCTCTACAATCAACAGTACGACTTCGCCCTCAGAACTTAAGTTTCTTCTTTTAGTCTTACCATTCTCCAACCGACTTGCTTGGCATTTCAAGACCTAAAGGAACACTTATTCCAGCCCACGTCAAGGTACCAGTTACGGTCAGGAAGCAGCTGGGTGGATAATTGAATCGAGTATTATCTGAACCGACTGGTTTTAAAACGATCAAATTTTGACAATGGCTTCGCATGTTCAGTGGGAAGGCAATCCACGTAAACTGATTCTCAACTTCCCAATCACTAGGTGCTGGCAGACATGTCGAAAAGATGATGACTCCCTGTCATCAACTAACCATGTGAAGTAAATACTAGAAACCTCGTATATGCTTGTGTTTTCAATTCAGTACTGCTTTGAAATATGTTTCTGTTCAGACTATTTTTATTCTGAGTTCTACCAACCTGGATTAAAACAGGTTGCTTAAAGAATGACAGAAAAGAAGTAATGTGGCAGTGGTGATAAGCAAAAGGATTTAGGATGTTGATATATAATGACCGATCTAATTGAATATTTCAATACGTAAGGTGGTAGTTGGAGAAAGTCGACAGGAAATCCTGAACATAGATTTCTTGCTGTTTGTCCCTCAACAAGGCGTATCTGTTATTTTGGGAGACCTAATTTTCCCTGGTCGATTTGATATTCTGTCACCTACATCTAACCACTACCACAAGACAGTGTGTACGAAGTTGCGTTACTTAAACTGGTGACCACAATGCAACTTGATTGATAAGATTCTATTAGTAGTAAGAAAGACTTGAAGTACCTCAATAAACTGTAAATATCCCGACATAAGTATCAGACACAGTTCAATCCTTAAATAAGTTTAATAGAACTTGTTACTCATAGCCTTGAGGATCACAATCATCTAGATTTATTGATAGAGTTGCTAGTAGCATTTCCGAATTTCTTAATCATCCAAAATACAGACATTAGATTGAATGAGTTAGTAGTTAAGACGTTGGCACGACACATTTGAAATTGAATTCATAAGACAGATAATCCCTTGAATACTAGATTGTTGGTATGTTGTGATCTAAGGATTTGATTTGACCACCATATTTGCTGGCGAGACGTTGATGGTTAAGTTTCAATGAAGTCTATGAATCATAGACAACCATTTGGATACAGATTAACAAAGATGATCAACTTATATGAGTTAAAAGACTGGTTAAGACTTTTGAGGTTTTATGTATTTCATGTTGATCAGTTAAGATGTTTGGAGAGACCAGTGGGGACAAATAATGTTGAGAGATGAGGACAACACACCGTGGAATAAGGAATTCAAATGTATAAGTTGAATTAATTTAGTAGTAGATTGTTGTTGAACATTCACTATTCAACCTTATAAAAGGTTTAGTCGAACAATCAGGAGGGAGTTCCCTTCGGAAAATAGATTACTCAAGTATACATTGGCCTAAGCGATTTACCATGTTGATTGTCTTTGCAATTATTCGTACGTACCACATGACCAATGAGTTGTTCATCAGAGTTTTATTTTATTTGGATAGAAATGCATCTCGTTAAAGTTGCTACTGAAGTTTTCTTTTCATCAGTTTGTAAGACAGTCGTCAAACTGAATCATCATTCATTCATGAAGAGGAAGGTTGAATTTAGTTTAGATATGCATCAATGTACCAAGTTGCTAGAACACTCACATCTGGATAGAGTATGAGAAGAGAACTTAACAAAATGTATTGAACTGGATTAAAAAGATGACGGACGATCGTATCGTCTGTGATGTGGTTCAAAAAGAAATTACAGTTGTAATTGGTAAATAAATGAACCATATATACTTTGAATGTACCAGAGAATGCATGATATTAGATTTGTTTCTGATCCTATTCACTGATATAATGCTTTGTGTATAAAAAAATAATTGACTTGTTTCTAACTAATCCATCAATCAACATTGATATTTATCGTATAAATTAGGTCATGTATTCAAATGACGACATCAGTTTGTACTTATTTTCCTTTCAAGTTAAATGGGTTTTTTTTTTCTGTTGAAACTTACATACTGATTTCAATGGAAAATATTTAAAAACTAGTGAGAGACAAACAGATCTGTTGAGATAGTTCAGCATAAGACAGCGATGTATGTACACTATTAGATGTGCTGAACTACAGCTCACACGAACTTAAATATTGAGTAACATGGAGGTGGTTAGGCTCGAGTAAACTAAGAATGCTTGACTCGTGACAGAACACCAATGTGTGTAATCGTTAACTGATAGTTGAAACAATGTCGGGAGGTACAGACTTCTTACTTGAGGTTCACGCTGCTAGCCATCATCCATATTTCATGTTTAGAACTCCATTTTTCTGTAACTATCTACCTTCTGCTTTTCTCCTTGTTGATTTCCTTTCACTGTACTAATATAAATTACGGTGATGTAAATTGATGCACGCTCATAATGATGAATTACTATCTGAATTACTCTTCCACAACTTCTCACAAAATTTAACTCACTGACCTTATGCTCTCTTGACCTGCATCTTGTCTAGATGTGAGAGATTTTCCAGCCTTATTTATTTCCAGTTTGTTTACTTACAATTTAGGTGGTTTCAAATGATTCTCAATGAAAAAAAACAAGATAACAAGACTATTTACGTTATCTGTCATTGATAATTATGTTTGCAGTAATGATTACATTATAAAATTTATCTTTCCTAAAAGCTTTTATTGTCTTTCTCAAATATTTTAGACAAAAGCGTCACACTATGGTTCAGCTGATTCTGAAGCTTTATCGATCCCAGGGAATTTAGAATATTTACAACAAGAACACAATCGACTAGCAGTCCTATGTCGTCTACTCATTATTGAACGTCTAGATACATTAGATGAAATAAGCACCAATGGTAATCAATTGTAAGTTTTCACTTATTAGTTCTTAAATTGCATTTCATCATTCAGAATTACCCCGAAATTAACCCATTAATATTTAGTTATTTACTTGTTTTAGACATAAGATTTCGATTCTGTTTTCAATCACTGATTGTCCCAATCTATAAGAAAAGACAAAAGTGTTCTTGTGACAATCACAGGGGAATCAGTCTAACTATTATAGTATCTAAAATATTGGCCTCAGTAATACTTCGACGCTTAACGAAAGCTCGTGAAGAGCAAACTCGAGAAAACCAATCTGGTTTTCGACCTGGACGTGGTTGTATAGACCACATTTTCACACTACGACAGGTCCTGAAACACAGACACACATTTAGGCGTCCGACAATAGTCGTGTTCCCGGATGTAAAAGCGGCATTTGACTCAGTGGATCGTGAGGTTCTGTGGCAGTGTTTGTCATTGAAAGGTGTACCAAAGAAGTACACTAACCTTATACAAGCTCTCTACTCAAACACCACTGGTCGAGTAAGAGCTTATGGCAAACTGTCAACGGAATTCTTTACTTCAAGTGGTGTCCGTCAGGGATGTCCACTTTCTCCATTCTTGTTTAATTTTATCAAAGACATGCTCCTAGAAATAACCTTATCCTCGTCTGAATTTTCAGGAGTAGACCTTCTTCCAGGTGGCTCGCTTATTGACTTAGAATATGCCGATGACATTGTCCTACTTGGTGAAGACGCTGACAAAATGCAGAGTCTTCTGACTACCCTAAGCAACAATGCAAGCATTTTCGGGATGCGGTTTTCCCCCTCGAAATGCAAAATGTTGCTTCAAGACTGGGTTGCATTGGCACCTGAACTAGTGATAGGGAGTGAAGTGGTTGAACGTGTAGACCGCTTCACTTATCTTGGGAGTCTCATCAGTGCTGATGGCCTGGTGACTGACGAAATCTCAGCTCGGATACAGAAGGCTCGATTGGCTTTTGCCAACCTGCGTCACTTATGGCGTAGGCGAGATATCCGTTTGCTGACTAAAGGACGAGTGTACTGCGCAGTAGTTCGCTCCGTCTTACTTTATGGCTGTGAAACATGGCCAGTGAGAGTAGAAGATATTCGTAGGTTACTGGTTTTCGATCATAGGTGTCTTCGAAGCATTGCTCGTATATCGTGGGACACCCGAGTGAGCAACGCTGTTATTAGGAATCGGGTGCTAGGTAAGAATGGCAGATCAATCGATGAAGTGGTGAAACTTCGTCAGTTGAGGTGGTTGGGACATGTGTTGCGTATGCCCAACCACCGACTGCCTCGAAGAGCTTTGTTTTGTAGTGTAGGAGTAGTTTGGAAGAATGTTAGGGGCGGCCAAACCAAAACATGGCATAAATCCATGAAGTCATTGACGAGTGGACTTAGCCATGTCGGTAATTGTCGACTACCTGGTTGGGGTCCGCGAGATGATAATAATCGATGGTTAGAGACCTTGAATGACATGGCTCAAAATCGTTCGCAATGGCGCCAGTGCATTTATTGTTTGTGTTCTGTCAAATCCTAATCTTCTGGATTCTTCAACACCTCTAGTTTCGACTCTCTAAACTTTTCTCACTGAATCATACTTCTTGAATAGTATCTTCTAATCCTAACCTCTCTGATTACTTCTAATACCTTTACTACCTCTTCTACTATTGGATTTGAATTGACGATTACTTCTCTGTGCTGATGTGGTATGGCGACATGAACTGATGTACTTATGTACAAAGTTCTACGTTGCATCTGACTGACTGACTGATTCATTACCATCGTACTGGTATTTAGGTGTAAGTATTGTATCACATTGTGCTGAAACTAATCTTGTATAACTTGAAGAAACCAGAAAAAATTAGCTCTGTAGTTTAAGACGTCCAAATTGGCACTGGTGAGGATTACTTATAAAGTTCATTGAAAAAGACAATCCATTTGAAAATACGCCGTTGTGGCTGTCAGATTTCGAAGCGAAACAACAGTTATGATTATTATTCATGTAACTGGACAACTATGAATACATAAACTATTATTGCACATTGAAAACTGAGATTTAAGATTGACCATCGCTATTGTGAAAATATCACTGCATAAAATCACTCATCCGTCTAACTTTAGATCAATATATACCGATGCTAGTCATCGGTTGGTTATTCTGTAGTCTTGAATGCTGCTTACTTATCACACTTAATTTTATTCTCTATGATGATGTGAAATGTATGTATGTACTAAGACCAAAATAATAAATATTTAATTGTACTTGTGAATCGACAGTTGAATTTCCAATTAATTAGTCGGTCACGTTATAATATTTTATAACTATCAACACCAACATTATTTATTTATTTTTTAAAAATGTAATTGAATAAGGTATTAGTATGTACTAGTGGTTTGTTTTACAGTGTGCATATTATTTGAATTAGAACTGATAAACTTTACGGCATCAAATTTATGCCCTAAAATAATGGTGGGTTAATCTTTAACCCGCCTTACCTAGTTCTATCCATTTGTACTGAGATTTTATCCAGATACTTGATTGTAAATCAAAAGGTTGCAGATGAACTAACTCAAAACAATCGTATATACAATTAATTGATATAAGTTTGACTTATCCGCTTTGATGCAGTTGATAGACATTCATGCAGTCTCATTGAAGTCGATAATCTTAGAGTGTGGATGGTCTACAAGCTAGAAAATAGCGCAAAATCAACATGAGCTGAAGCCCGGTATGATTATCTAGAATTACTTACGTTCAAAACTTAAATCCGTGCTTAACCGAGTCCAGTGAATTCCTATGTAAGAATTAGTTCTAATATTTAGCCTAAAATATTTATCAGATTGATTCATCTACATTTCAGTCCTCTAACCTATATGTCATTGTGGTACCTGTTTCCATTTTGTTTCAGTCTTGAAACAAACGATTCATCGAATTCTGATTTTAAAATTGAAAGAAATTTATTAAATTCTTATTTAAGACGACTTGGTGGTTCAATTTTAACAAATAGTTTATCTTCACCCAATACAGAATCATTTTTATCAACTAATACTAGTTCATTTTTAATTGGACAATCGAGTTGTGATCATTCAACCAATTATAATATGTGTAATTCATTGCAAACACCGGAAGTTTCTTTTTTCTGTGATTCTTATTCTATGACACCGGAGTCAAGATTTGATGATCAGGGAGGTGTTGAGTTTACAGATATTACTACTAGTGCTACTAATACTACTACTACTGCTACTACTACTGCTACTACTACTACTACAACTACTACTACTACCAGTAATAATATTAATGATAATGAATTATTTGAACACGAACAACATTTAACATCAAACAGTGGCAGGATATTGGATCATCACTATGAGGAAGCGGATGACGAACAGATTTGTTCTGACTTGCGAAATTCACCTGATTCTGGTCATTTAAAATCTTATGGGTATGAGTAAGTAATAAAATAAACAGCTTTCTTTGTTGTTGTCGTTCTCGTTGTATACGTTCTCATAATTTATATCTTTGTAGTATTTTATGATAAATACATATGTGAAGCGGTATATATCTACTGTTTATGCAGTTTAAAAGCAATCATTAATGAAGCAAATCTATTTATTATCCTAACATTAAAACCAGAAGTTAAAGAATTGTTCATTTCATTTACTCAAATATACATACACAAATATGACTAGAATTTTAATCATACTGACGTCTGAATTAATTTGCTGAGTATAAGATGGGTGAGGTTGCGCATGATCTTAGATTGATTAAAGGTATACATTAACACCGTTGGATATCGGCTCAGTGGTCTAGCGGTTAAGCGTTCGCGCGCTAGACCGAAAGTCCTCGGTTCCACTCTCTCGAGCTGATGAGTCCCGTAGTTGGACGAAAAGATCATTCAGGTTTCTGATGGTGGTCTAACAATAATCGATTCACGATTTCACTGAAACTCAACAACCTTCATAACTCCATGATGAAAATTATAGAAAATTATAAAGTAGTATAATAAATAAATGTCCTTTTGCCTATAATCCAATTGAGGTAACCTATTTGGACGACGTTTATCGTTTGTTTGATTGTTAAACACCATCTTCTTAAACATTAAATTTAGGTTATAAAAAAAGTCAAACTACAAAATTTGATTGCCAAGTGTGTTGATCATCTGAATTAATGCATAAACCTGTGGACTGAATCTCAAATGAACTTACACTGATTAAGTCGTCAGCTACGATAGTGTGACGACAGCTCAAACAATTAGAGTTATGTATCAAAGCCTACTTTATTTAATGGAGGCAAACTACACCTCCAACTTCTATACTAATTAAAATGTGGGAAAATTATTGATATTTTCTTACTTTCCAACAATAAATCGGCGATAGTAGGAAATGATTTGTAATTGTCGAATGAATTCTATGAACTCAAAAAAAGCAATCTTGCCAAAAGTGTGGCTGTCTATACCAATATGTCAGAATATATTTATCAAACTCATCATTAAATCATGTCCTCATTTGCAGGAATAAACAGATGGATTATGTTGTCCTACATAGAAATTGTAACCAGATTAGTTAGGGCGTTTTAAAATTCATGTCTGTAAATAACCCAACATAATCTCTTCATTTTAATCTAAAGAATCATAAACACTGACAACAAAATGCTTATTGTAATGAAAAGAGAATGTGTATTATCAATTCATAGCATTAAGAATGTATATTCTTGTTGAATGTTTAATCGGAACTTTTAAATGACGAACTGCTTCAACTTAATCCTACTTATTTACTATTCTTTTTGTTGTTGTTAGCACTCCCATGGAACAACTCCCATCGCCAATGACTACAGATATACTTTTTGAATTATGGAATAGTGTCGTAGAAGATACTAATGGGCAATCAATGGTAACTGCCATTGCTGATCCTCCTAATATTGATTCTTCTCCGTCGATTACAGTGAATAGTAATCATCACCATAACATGAGCGTTACGAGTTCGCATGATTTATCAAATTTTTATTCAGTTATAAATACCAATGTACAAAGTATGCTTTATTATTTATTATTGGTTTAAATGGGTTGTGTGTATGTATGTGATTTATTTTGTTTTTCGAAACTGTTTCATTGTATTATTAAAGTATGAAATAACTTCAGGTCAAATGCTTATTTATGCACTATAATGGACAAGTTGTTCGGATTGTCATAATCGTTAAACGCTTTTACGCATGCCGTTTTTTACTAGTATTCTGTCAATTTTGTCACGAAAGGCAAGTAGCATGCCAAATCTAAATAAGAAAGGAAGTTGCAATTCAGTTAGATTTAGGCTATAAGTGAGAACCTGATCCGTTCTCCTGGGGTGATAGGATACAATTAGGTCAATCCATCATTCTTATAAGAATGTCATCAATGAAGACACGTGGACTTGCATCTACAAATGTCTATGAAATGAGGTTGAAAATATGTAGATTGAGAATCAACCATGGAATGAAACAAATTACTATGGCTGATATTCAGTTAACTGTTTGGGACACAACTAAACAGCACATATGTATTGAAAACATTTTATTATTGAATATTTTATATGATATGATGGCTGTTGAAGGTTAAATACTCACAGCAGTACCGATGACCATGAACAGTAAACGGTGAGAGTACCTCGTTTATACTTTTTACCACTGTCCAATCCAAAGAGAAAATTTCGTTTCGTTCGATTCATCAAAGATTCATTTATTAAGTTTACAACTTTATGACATGTTAAAACACCAACAAACTGAGAAAATATAACTTTGTGGTGGTGTTTGGTTCTCTGAGCTGGATGTTTTGGTTGTGGAGCTTTCATTGTCCTTCTGAACTACATCATTAGCACGAATTTCAGATAGAAGTCTTCTGAAGTTTCTATTTGAAGTTTGTGCTGATGATGATGTTGTTCAAAAGAACAATGAAAGCTCCACAACCAAAACATCCAGCTCAGAGAACCAAACGCCACCACGATCATCCACCTGAGCTACAAATCTTCTCCATCATCTCAAAAGGTAACTTTTTAAACAGGATTAGAATAAAGGTCCTATAGTATGACGGTAATATGTCAGCCGACCTTTTCTGGTTGTAGCATGATCATATTTAAAAAAAATCTTTTAAGCGTATAGTCATGCTTTCGATCTTCAAAATCTGACGACTTTATTCTATAGATGTTCAACTATTGGTACGTCCATAGGGTTAGTTGTTTCCTTTAGAAAGCGGTTTTGTATGAGTTTTTCGTTGTTATGAACGTCATTATTAGTTGATTAATAATATAGTCTTGAAAACATTTTAATAGATGGCATCATAGTAGTTTAATCATAGAATACAGTTCTCCTGACGCTCGAGATGGTTAGAAAAAGTAGAGATTGTCAGTTTGTTTCATGATACTTCATTATAAAGGTCAACTGTGTTTACGTCATGAGTCCCATCAAATCGTCATTTTGTAGTTGTTTTTAGAAAACGTTATCAGTGGCTGTTCATGGAAATTCCACAGGATTAGCCAATAGGTGCCTTTGGTTTCAGGATTTTAACTATAGTGGCCAGGAATCGGGTCCTAAAGTACTCAGTGTTCATATTTAGCAACATTCCTTTCAAACCACTTTATTGTCAGATTTCATAGGGCTATTTTTAGTAATTCCATATGAATTCGGTATTTGGTGATATTCATCGTGTGTGTGTGTGTGTGTGTGTGTGTGTGTGTGTGTGTGTCTGTGTTTGGATTACTATGTCGATTTCTGATTATATCATTTGTTCTCTTTCTGTGTTACTGTTATTTTATTGTAAATAAGCTTATATCAGGTAGTAATAATAATACCATGAATTTTACAGATGTATCATATAATGCAGTTAGAAATACAACTGGTAACTGTAAAAGTAGTGGGAATAACGCAGCTTCATTGTCTTCTTATTTTATTTCTTCCTCTCCTGTTACGATGACGACCACAGCTACCACTCCATTGTACATTCCTTCTTCTCCTCCTCCCGCTACTACTATGAGACCAATAGCTTTCAGTACTGTTTCGCCAACAACTACTATCCAATCAAATATTAATTATTCATCAATGCACAGAAACCAGTTGCCAGTTCAATTATCGGAAAGTTTAAGATGAATACCTGTCATTAATGTAAGTTGTAATTAATATGACTTCTATAGTGATGTATTTACTTAGTGTCATTTTATGCATATGTTTTGATCGAAATTTCCACTCTCTCCTGTACAGTCGTCCGCATTGGAATGATATTTGGTGACAAATTGAATTGAAGAAGATCCCCGTAACGAAATCATTATATTCCAGTCACTTTCCATGCACCATGGAATTGTCAGACCGAATCCCAGAGTAGTAGAGGTGTTAATAGTATCGGTACCGGTAATAGAAAACACAAAGGGTCTAAGTTAATATTCAGGAGAATATAAATTAGTGGAATGAAGATAAAACATTATGAGGAATTCAAAAGTTTGGGATTCGGAGGATGAGAAAGAATAGCTGCATCTGCGCCATTGCAAACAGTTATGAGTCATGTCATTAAAAGTCTAACCACTGGTTACGAATATCACACGAACTTCAACCAGGTGGTCTGCAGCTATTAACATGAATCAGTTCAGTTGACAATGACTTTTTGGGCTAGTGACATGTTTTGGTTTGGTCATCCCTAGTTTTTTTCCACCCTATGCCTACACCAGAGAGCATTACTTGTTGAGGTAGGCCGCGGTTGGGCATACCTAGCACATTTACCAACCACCTTAGCTGATGATTTGCTATCCTTACCTAGCACCCATTCCTATGCTTCTACAACTGATAGTCGAATACTAGTAACCTACTCATATCCTCTATTACTCCCATGTTTCACACTCGTGAAGTAGAACAAAGCGAACTGCGCAGCAAAATCGTTCTTTGATTAGCAGTTGGTCATCTCGCCTATACTACAATTGACGCAAATTGTCGAAAGCCACTTAAGCCTTCTGTATTCGGGCTAATATTTCGTCAGACACCAGGCCATCAAGATTGATGAGACTCTTAAGATAAATGAAGCAGTTTTTTTCAGATAGAACATAAAGGTGTTTGATTATTCTGAGTTGTATATGGATATTTTGATTTCTTAAGTTTCTGTTATCCTCATTATAATAATCGATACGTGGGGATATTAATTACCTTGATGTCAAACAGTTAGGAAGGACTGTGAACTAAACTTACTCTTTTTCATCTTGATTGTAATTGGAAATGTAAAACACGAAGTTTCAAATCAAGTGATCTTAAGCTAGTGTGTTTTATATGATGTCACGTTTTTAGATTAGATTCACTTTGTAGACTTGGTTCTTGAGTAGTATCTAGCTGGCACTCCATGTTTATCCAGTGCTTCTCTTTTTTCACTGATTCCCTAGTTCATACAAGTCCATAAAAAAGGGAGGAAGGTCCGAAATATAGTTTCTGCTATCCTATATCTTGATGATTGCCATTACTCCTTTCTCTATGCGTACTTTAATCTATAGTTTCTGCTTATACTTTTGGATTTCTAACTTAGGAATTGTCTTGTGACGCTGTTTAACGTTTTCTACTAATTTATCCCATATACTTCCAGCGTATTCTCTTCATTTCCTCCTCAAATCGCAACTGGTTTGTTCTCTACCACAGTAGGTTATTGTTGATGGTTTCCCCAATGGATTTGCAGAATCTTGTGTGGGCAACTGCTTACAAATACTCGAACGTTGTTAATGATACTAATGGTAGTTCTTCAAGTTTTAAAGGAACTGTTCCAGCGTTTGTGTTGAAAACGTAGACTTTGACGTTGGCTGATGGTTGTTTTAAATTGCATTCCACATATACCAACATGGCTCAGCCCACTAGTCAGTGACTTCATGTATTTCTGCCATGTTTTGGTCTAGCCACCCCTAGCTTTTGTCCAAGCTGATTCTAAACCACAAAACAGCTCGACGAGGCATACGTGACACATGTTCCAACCACCTCAACTGATGAAGTTTCATTACTTCATCAACCGATCTGCCATTCTTAACTAGTACCCGTTTCCTAATAACAGCACTACTTACTCGGTTGTCCCACAATACTCGAGCAACGCTTCGAAGACACCTATAATCGACAATAAGCAACCTACCTATAAATGACTCAGGTTGTCGAAAGCCGATCGAGCCTTCTGTATCCGTGCTGAGATTTCGTCAGTTACCAGGTCATCAGCACTGAAGAGACTTCTGAGATAAGTTAAGCTGTCAACATGCTCAACTACTTCACTCCTTGTCACTATTCCAGGTGCCGATGTGGGCTGATCCTCAAGCAACATTTTGCATTTCGACTGGTAAAACCGCATTCCGAACTTGCTTGCATTGTTGCTGAGTGTGGTTAGAAGACTGCATTTTGTCAGCATCTTCGCCGAATAGAACTATGTTATCGGCATATTTTAAATCAGCAAGCGTGTTTCCTGGTAGAAGGTCCACCCTTGAAAAAGTTAGACGAAGATAATATTATCTATAAAAGCATGTCTACAACAAAGTTAAACAAGAATGGAGAAAGTGGACATCCCTGACGGACACCACTTGAGGTGATGAATTGGGATAACGGTTGGCCATAACTCAACCTGTAATGTTCGAGTAGAAAGTTTGTATATGGTTAATGTATGTCTCTGGTACACATTACAATGACAGACACTGCCATTGCATCCACGTCTAGGTCTAAAACGAGTCTTGTTTTCTCTATTCTGCCTTTCACAATCTCTAGTTAGGCGTCAAGTTAATATTTTGAACATCATATTAGTTAAACTGATCTCCCTGGGATTGCCACGAGAGGACTTTTGTCCTTTTTTATGAAATGGGACAATCAATGATTGAGAACAGTTGTATGGGTTTGCGTCCAGTTCCCAGATTCTACTTGAAATGTCGGTCAATCTAACTGTGAAACCTGGGACACCATCCTTAGAAATCTCAAACATTAATCCATCAGGATCTAGCGCTGTCTTTTACCTTATATTGACTACAGCCTTTACAACCTCAATAAGGATGGGCGAACTGACACCAACTCGACATTAGGATAAACTGGAGATCGTGGGTATCCGAAGTGTGTCTGTGGGCCAGTTGCTCTGATCCTGAAAGACCTTTGTCCATCTATCTAATCTCCCGGAGCCCAAATTTTTCCAAGATAATCTCAGTAGCATTCGTTATTCCGGTTTCCTTGAAAAGTCTGAATGGTTGTCAACTGATACCTTTCTCTACTGCCTTTTCCATCTCTCTTGCTTTCTCTCCCCACCACTAGTCGCGATCATTGTGTATGGTTGTTATCAGCCAGTGCCTGATCTGATTCCTCTCTTTGTCATGTTCAGGGTACGATGAGATAAGTTTCCGAGCATCCATCAGTTCGACACATTATATTGAGATCCACTATTTCTCCCTAACCCTTATGGTTTGCTTTACTAGCAATTATCACTGCTGTTTCCGCAGCTGTTTTGATATTATTCCAAGTTGCCTCGCTCACATAGCTGACTTACCATTAGTCTAGTTGTTCCTGAAATATATTCTTAGTTTTGCAATCATGAAGTAGAGGAGCGCTAAGACGTTTCATTGCAGCGTCTTTTCTATGTCTAGTAAGATTGTAACAAATACACGCTGGTAGGCATGATCTGAATCTGAACATGTTCGCCAGAACGAGCGACAGTTTTCCGTTGAGCTCCTCCATCGGTAGCTGATAGCTATAGGCATTTTTCATGCCTTTTTAGAGAGAATGAATGCAACTACTTGAGGTCAGCAGTAACTCTGGGTGGAGTTTGGTTACTGTATCTTTTGACAATATTCTGTTTATATTATTATTATTTTTCACACATCATTATTGATCTACTCATATATGGTTTTGCCTCCGTTGTTTTCATTTTTTTATTTACTTAGCCTCATTCGTCCTCATCATAGTCATATAGTTCATAATCTCATAATTTTCTACACTATTCAACTTTTGATTTTGGAAAATTCATTCAATAATCATGGAAATGAAATAACTGCTCTATTTTCATCCGTTATTACGGTTCAGTTTCTATTGTGCGACAAATTGAAATTTTCTTACTAGTTCTAATCAGCAGAAATGCTAGATTTCTACATTCTAGGGATAAAGCATCCTCTCACTTATTATTCAATTATGAATTTCCAGTCTATTTCACAAAACCACAAATTTCTACCATCAACTACTAGAATTGTGGTCAGGTATTTTATTGACACATTTAATACCATCGTTATGCAGTGACAGTTCCAACTTCAGTGTTCGTGGATGAATAGATAAAGCAGCAGCAGCAGCTGCAGCAACAACAACCGTAGAATTTCCATCGATTATATCATTTCCTGTATGATTGAATTTGAACTAGTCAACGGGTGCTGTGATGTGATGATGTGTGTAATATTGTTGTGTAGTAGTAGTTTGACTATCAATATATATTCCCTTCCTTTGCTTTCCGTTATCATTGTTGTCACTCTGCAAACACAATCCTTGCCAGTTTCACATTCAATTGAGTTCAAATTAATGCTGTCTTTCAATGACTTCATTTACCTACTACGTCTATGTAAAATCCTAATTACACTCCTTCTCTCATCTTTTCTTTTTCCCATTAGAGAGTCAGTATTTCGACAATATGCTTTTATATTTTTTATATCCTACATTATAAATAACCACTTCGATTATATATATATATATATATATATATATATATATATATATATATATATATATATATTACTAGTTTGTGCCATTTAATTTGTTCATGTTCATGTTAATGAATATTTAATTGTTTCACTGTGTTACTTTATCTCTTCGCCTTTATCCTTTGTAATTAATTGTTTTTCTCTTATTTTTTTCCGGTATGAAACTGTTTTCTTGTTTTATCCATGACATTTAACTATTATTATTATTATTATTATTATTATTACATTTATCTTGTTCGTCAATCAATTCTTATCGGGCGAAATCGATTCGAACATTTGAATTCGAAAAGATGCTGACAGGTATATCTATTTATTTATTTTATTTATTGTACATTTCTATTGGCCATCTCTTTCCACAACCTTGTCACTATCGTAAAATTACACTGTTTATCATTTTATTATATATAAGTTTTTTTTGTGTACATG